ATTCCTGCTAGACCAAAAGCAGGTTGTGGGACTCTGCATCTGAGGCAAATTGTTAATAGCTCCAATGCCCACCATCTGTAGCAACATCGTTTTAAAAATACAATTTACTGTACAAGAGTAACAATTTATACACACACAAATGTGCACAGACACTGTCAGAGTAAAGGAAGAGAACTGGCTCAACCACACAGTTTACAGAATGAAAACTCCCTTGCTGCAACATATAATCAAGGAAGAAAGGCAACAGAAACATTCTGGAGCCAGTAATATTTGGCAGCACAATTACGCATAATCAAGACAGGATAACATCTTGCTAATCCGCAGGAAAAGGGAACGTATTATTGTCAGTTCAAAGACAAATTCTCCCCTTACTGTAAGTTAGTCATTTTGGTAATGTCAACATATCTGTCTGTAATTACACCAGATAAAGATGTGGACTGCCATTTCCCACTTATAACCACCCGGGAGTTAATCTTTTCCTTTTTCCCCTCAAAAGTCATACCTGCAAAGGCACCAGAGCACGAAACCTAGTCCACAATAGGGGTCAAGACAAATTGCAATCTGCCGAGACGAGTAGAGCTCACATTGAAGCTTGATTGCCCTGCAAAGGCCACTCACTGCTGCGTGGGACATCTGCAACACAAGAGACACAGAAACTGTGCTGAAATTCAAGGACGTCAAAACAAGACTTCATCAAGACAGGTAAAGAAGAATAAAGATAGTTTATGGAGTTAAGTGTTATCAAGGGAAAACTATGTTTCTTCTTCCTTTATCGTCCATAGCAGAGGCAGAGCATTGCAGAACCCTCTGAGCCACAGTAAACCAGAAATGGTGATACCAGTAGCTATTGCTTAAAAGCTTTAGGCATCTCAGACTCCAAACACGGCTGATCGTTAATGACAGTCTAAGGCTTTCGTTTTCTAGTTTCTTATCTTCTTCATCAACTGCATCCCTATTCTGCTCTTGGTGGGGGAAAGCAGCTCACAGCTATGCTACTCGCATCGCTCACTGCTCTCCTAACAGGCAGCTCTCCAGTGGGAGGCAGCAGCAGAATTCCTGATGTCCATTTGTAGAAACCTGTCTTCCTACATTGCAGAACTAATTCTCAGCACAAAGTCACACTGCGTTGTCTGCAGCAAATCCATAGCTTTACTGGAAGAAAAGCATGGTCTCTATTTAAGCTACAAGAGCCAGCTTTGGTGGAAGTCGAGGGGAGAGGTGGTTCAGAGTATCAGCCAAAGACAAGACACCAAAACCCCTGTCTTCTAAAACCGTTTTACTGTACCTTTACTCCTGTAAGCATGCCTGTTGTGGAAACACTAAAATCTAGATATGCTAACATTTCCGGCGTAGGTGGCTTATAGATCTGAGAGAGCCGCTTCCTGGGCAAGTCATCTGTACAAGAAAGGAACAAACGTGGTTAATTTTTGATTACTGAACTGGTATTTGAAAGGAGAATACAGCTTTCAAAAAAACCCAAGATGGACAATAAAGCTTTCTATTAATTCTCTTTCCATGAGAGACAGACTAGTATATGACAAGACCCTTGCTAAAGCTCCCACGTAGAAATTTATTTATTCTCAGGAAAAGGGAGAAAAGACCGACTCGCTCTTGTCATAAGGAAATTAATAGTTGTCTGCAACGTGGCTTTTCAGCAAAATTATTCTACATGCATAGCTCAACAAATGCAGAAGGGATGTCAGTATACAAGGTCAGGCCTAGCTTATATCTTGGATTGTTTTTCTAAATATTCAAGCAAATTCTTAAGAGCCATCCAGTTAGCATCTGAAATGGGGGACAGTCCCTTTGGAAGTCAATGGTAACCCCTACAAAGAACTTCAAAAAGTCTTTAGCCCATGGACCGCACCTGTGTCAATGATAGTTGGCCAGGTTTTCACATCTACAGCAGCAGCTGCCTCTCTGGATTTCAGTAGTCTCATTAAGGTCTGGGTTGTGAGAATACAGGCAGCTTTGCTGACCTAAAAAGATAAACACTTACTAAAAAATAAAAAAGACAAAAGCATGTCCCAGTGGCACTGTCATTGCAAGATTTGATGCTCAGAGAGTGTATTTTTACTATCTGTAGCCAGCATCCCCTAACAAACCTGCATTAATTTCTTTGGCTTTTGCAACACTACTCCCTACTCTTCCTTCACTAAAACCCCAAACACAGACTAAAATGCAAGTAACCACGTAAGGACCTTTAGAGCAGGTGAGAACATTACACAGACTACATCTAGCTTTCTCCCCGTGGTTATAATGGGGAGGCATCCTTTCCTGGTTACTGGGCTTGGAAAGTAACTAATAACAGGATCTGCAGTTGCCCAGCAGTAAGGAGTATCAATGTGAAATTTTAAGTGCTAACATCACATTAGTATCTCCCAGAAACTGCCCGTTTCATAGCAATTTGTCTTGCCACATCAGGAGAGGTGGTTCTCTCTTGCATTTTATGAATTAAAACACTGTCCTTCATCTGTAAGATGTGCTTCACTCACTGCTGTCACGTAAACAGCACGGGAGTTCGGACAGCTGTGTTAACCACTCGAGTCCGAGAGTGCTCCAGCCATGCTCTCAGCTACAGCCCCGTTACTCACTTCCACGATCATTCGCACAGTGGGCAGAGTAGCAGTGAGGCTCTGAGCATGAGGTGGTCTCACGGTCACGGGGATGCAGCCAGCATACAAACAGCCATAGAACGCGGTGATTAGCTCAATGCCTGCAAGGACACGACAGGCTGTAGTGTAGGACACTGGTGGATGGACAACCTGGTGACACCAGCCTTTCCCCTCCTGGTACTTTTTCCTCCAAGCACCGGTTACAATTTTTGTTAGAAGAGGCTACACACGCTAGTCACTTCCATGTGCAATGTAAGCAGTCCAAACACCGAGGGCAGCACAACAAGGAAGCTAAGAAAGCTTGGGGAAAAGGGGCTGGGAAAGTAGAGAAGACTGATCACACAGAAAACCATATTCATCTTACAGGAAAAGAACGTCCCAAGTATCAAATGACTCAAAAGTCAGTCAGGACAAGAGAGAATTGTCTGGCAGGGCAAGAAGTACGCACACCAGAGAGCACCTCTCACTAGCAGGGAGTGCCTTACACACGCCAAGTGATAAAGCTGTGTGCTACTGGCCACAGCAGGCAGACTGCACTTCCCACTGTTCCCAGCCTACTGCTGTAGAAGGGGCACCCAACGGTCTCAGAGGAAGTGCTCATTTTCTGCACAGCTGAAGGCGATGGCACCAGTCTCTACCAGAAGCCACCCTGCCATTTCTCATAGAAAACTACATGCTTTCCCGGATGAAAAGGTGCCAACTGGCAACATGACTTCAGACAAACAAGATCTGAATAGACCAGGAGCTGAGGAGTCTCTGGTAGGGAGACTAGCGCAATTCTTCAGCACCTGCAGTGTGGTCACAAGTTTCTAATAACTTTGCAGTGAACATATCATACCAGAGGATCTTTGACAATCACAGAAGTCTTTGAAGATTTTATTTTAAATGTCATGACACAGCAAGATCTATCCAGGAGGGAGAAGGTACAAACTGGCTTTTCAAAAACTCTAGAGAATCGAAGTTCGAGTCCTGATACTACAAGACATTAGGACAGCCCTCTCTGGAGTCAAAACTAAATCAGTGAGTTATGCAGTCCCTAAGGTATGGCTGGTTCAATGATCTCTCCTATACTTCCAGATCTCAATGAGATGTCAAAGAAAGACCACACTGCATTTCCACAGTGGGATGCAGTCATCATTAAAACTTGCTTACCAGGAGGATAAAGAAGCACCACATTATCTCCCGCATTGAGATGTCCTTTGTCACACAGAACTGATGCAATTCTCTCTGCTTTTTTGTGCAACTGAAGGCAGGTGGCTGTGCACACAGTGGTTCCCTTGAAAGGAGACAAAAATGCTCTAAACAAGGCCTGGCACAACACATGTGACAGTAAAATGGCCACTGAAAAAAGAGAAACAAAACACAAAACAAACCAAACTTGCTTGCTAGCATCAGTCTATAGCTACTAGTTATCTATACCTATAGGCTGCTGGCATTCAATGAGCCATTTATCCACTACAATATCAAAAAGATAGAGATGGAGTTAGATCTGCTCTAGAAAATTCTACCTTCCAGGGAGTCAGTTCAGGTCTTCTTGCACCAGAACCTTGCCAGAATATACTCAACAGGGATACACCATTAAATGATACAGGAACCAGTGGGACCTACAAACACGCTCAGTTTTAAAATGAAGCATTGAACCGTGACAGTCATTTAGATGAAGTGACCTATAGGTTCAAAGGTTCAAATTTAAAATTACAAATCCATGGGCAAAATCTGATACAGAGACTAAATAGAGGACACCGGAATGGGCAAAAGATTTTAGGAACAGTCTCAAACTTGCACTGAATAACATGCTGTGGACCTTAAAAAACCCAACAACTCAGCACTGACTGTACCTTGGCATTTAATAAAAGGAAGAGTGGGTGGTCAGGAGTTGCTTGAGCTCTCCACTGTAATACCTCCGTCAGGAACTGGTGCTGAAACAAAGAGGCAGTAATTAAATACTAGTGATTCTACTTCAGAGGCAGTACTTAAGTGCTTCACATTGCTGCTTTGCATTCAGCTGTAGGGTAAATTCTTTGCCATTCTCTAGCTGTAACAAATACTGATTTACCTTTTTAACTAAATCATTGTCTTCTATTTGACCAAGATCCCTTCCAGAGGCTTGAGCAATACGCTTCCCAGCAACCAGGTTCCCCACCATCACAGAGGCAGGGCCAACGCCTGTTGATAAAGAACAGCCACATGAAAGGTGGACTTTTAAATGCAAATAACAAGGACCTGGCCTAGAACTGCAATCTGCAGGAGAGCAAAGGTACAAAGATTCTCTGTAGGATCCCACTGCTCCTGGGCATGGATGCGAGAAGAGAGGTAATGAAACCTCACTGATAGAGTTCAGAAGGCATTGCTAAGTCTCCTATTCATCAGTAGAGAGAATCCCAAGGAGTTCAAAAGTAGGAATCAAAATTCCTGACTGACACATGCAAAGAGAGGCCTCAAACACACCCCAGCCACAGGCCACAAGACGAGCTCTGGTCCCCAGCAAGTAGGATACCAAGCGTCAGAGGCATCGCACAGCTTCCTCGGTCTGATATTGTGACCTTCAATTTACTAACGTTAAACAAAAGGGGCTTGTGTTACCTGGTTGTTTCTGCCTGGGTTTTGGCAAGTTCGTCACACACGTATGTGGGCACATGAGGATGTTGCACGGATGCAGAGAGCCTTCCAGAAAGTGCTGTTTAGTTTGAGAGATATGGATCCCTCCCAACGGAGTTTTTGGCAACGTATTGGCTGGCACAAGAGCAAGGCAATATACACCCACTTGGTGAATGCTGTCAATTGCCTAGAGAAAGGAAAGATGGTCACTTAAATTCTTGGTACTACTGGAGACAGTCTACTGTTAATGGCTGCACTGACATACTGCAAGATGAATCTCTGCATTTGTATCGTAGTGAGAAGCAAGTCAGCATTTCACCCCCGTAACATCAGCGAGCTCTATGGCAAGAGTTAAGTGCTTGTTAGCATCCCTGCCTTTATAGTTCATTTCACATATGAGAAATCAATTTTTAAATCTTTCATGACCAAAATCCCAAAATATGCACAGCTGCTTGATGAATCATATGATTTTGATCTTACAGTTTTATCCATCTGTCTCCTCTGAACCATCACACACTTTCGGCATTCAGGCATCTAATACATTATTCAGACCACCAGGTAGTTCCCTGATTTTTCTCCTGTTTGCATAGTTCACAACCTGAAACATCATCCCCAAGAATGACCTACATGCAATGCAGACAGTTCTCAAATTAAGTATTTGCTGCTCTTTCTACTTTCTTAGGACTACACTCATTCATTTTGCTGTTTTAACCTTTCTCTGCTTACCATCTCCCTGCTGAAAATGCATCTCCAAATTTAAGGGTGGCTTTAAAGCATAACTTTGAGCACCATCGTGATCCAACACTAAAAGCAGAACTGCTAAGCTTGAGCACTGGATCTGCTTCACAGTGCTGAGAGGCAACTGTATTCCTCTACACAGTCATCTTCCTAGCATAATGCTGACCGCTTTGTCAGAGCCTACGCTGTCCTGTGTTGCAGCCGCTTTCCCAGGACCTTCAGGACATAACAGAACAGCTTGTACACAGCAGATGTACCCAGCTTGTGACCCTGTAAAATTACCTTGTGCCAAGAGGGATCATGAGCCTGTGATCTTTCCATCTGGGGCATGCTGATGGCCTCTGATCTGCCCACACACTGCAACACTGCACTAACTCACCTCATCCACCCATGTAAGTGGGCTTACCTGCAGCACTCGACTCATCCACTGAAAACTGTCCTCTTCAGATGCATCTGGCCTCTGCTCTGCAACCACCACAATCCTCTCGTCATAGAAGACAGATACTGAGAACACAGCAATCCTAAGGAAAATGGGAGAGCCTTGTTGGCACAAATTCCGGTTTTACGCCTTGGGAACCGGAAGCCACAGAAACATACTGAAGACAGAACTTGCAAAAAAAAAAAAAAAGCAAACCCAAAAACAAACCCAAAACCTCATGGGACAAAGACAGAGAAAAAACATTAGACAAAATTGAGTCAAAAAGGAAAGACTTTGTGAAGTATGTAAGGGATTAATCGCACCTTCTGACGAAATTTCTACATAGCATTGTCCCCTGTCCTCTCAACCCGCTATCACAGTTCTGTTCCAACCGGTGGCAAATCAACAATAGAATAAAAGCTTTAAAAGTATCTACATAACATAGGGGGCTTAAAACCTCCTGGTAAGTCTTAGAGGCATGAGCTCCAAGCCCGCCTGAGGATCTAGAAAACTACTTAATTTTATTTAGCAGTTGGGGATGTATCTTTGGACATTAATGCAACTCCTCCTTGCTGCAGGTCATCAGCCAGCAGCTAATTACTACAGAGACTTAGAAGGAAATTCTACAGAAGCAGAGAATTAAATTCTCCATGTGGCTGACTTATCTTGCTCCTTGATTCCTTCCCCTAAAGTACACAGAGTTGATGAAAAGCCAGGCGGGGTAGTTGCGGAAAACAGACCTGTGTTGGGCAGGATCAGGCAAATTACTGTCTAAACCAAAAACATATTTACTTTAACTGAGCTACCCAAACAAACCAGTCACTGAAGAGAAATCCAAGATCATACTCAAGATCCCGTTTCATTATATTACATGCAGAAGCTTATAGGGAGGGGCAAGGTTTATTTTGCTAACCTTCCTCTGTAAACTGTTTTTATTGACTCTACTGCCAATCCAGTTGCTACAATGTCATCGGCATTATGTCTACGTCCGCTAACTGTCAGCAATCCATCCATTTTTCCAACCACAAACACCAAACTGCCCTGAAAGATAAAAAGGCGTCAGAGTAACTTACATAAAGCAGGTATTCAAATGTCTTTGATGACTTGCTTATTTTATAACTATGGCTAGATCAATGGAATTTGTATAAAACACATTTTCTTTCTCTGTAAATTACATCATTTATGACTAAGCAGGAGAAGCATTCTAGCCACTCAGTGAGACATGACACTCCAACATGCATAGCAGAACTGCCATGCAAAAAGCTTCTTACACTTGGTTTTAGAAGAACTAGCAATCTAAAAAGGCACTGTAATGACAACATGCTGGACAAGTAAGGGTTCCTACAGGCTCAGGCAAACCCATTAACTCTCAACTATCTTATCCACAGCAAGCTATCCTTATACATACTCCTGTACCCAAATGCTTTTCTTTTAAACATTCAAGGCTATTAGGACGAACAAAAGAATGCAGCAATGCAAGCTCAAAAACTGTATTACGTACAGGTCCAACAAACCCCAGCAAGCCGGAACGGACAAATGGCACATCACCCACTGGAGAGCCAGCCGAGTTCACAGGGATAACCTGAAACAGAAGGGAGGACATTGGAGGCAAAATGGATTTGCCTGAGGATAAAAAAAACATTCCCCACATCAAGAATTGCACTATATGCGAGTGAAGCGATGAGGAGAAGGGGAGGGAATCCTTGGTACAGTCATCATTTTAGCACTGTGGGAGACCTTTATGAAAGGGGAACACGGAATATATCTAACAGTAATGAGTTTTTCAGGGTATCTTTTTAAAGATAACATTAACATTTAAGTTACAAAACCAAGCGATTATACAAGTCTATCAGTTCCACATAGGAAACAGGGAAAGAAAGTTGAATTCTACTACACATACCTCAAATGTATTCTTTGTCACCCCTGCCAGCCCGTAATACATCATTCCTCCTGCTCTGGAGCTAACACAGATTTCACCAATCTCATCTGTTTTACAGAGCTGAGGTGGTCCATCAGGTTTCACTATACACATCATTCCTAGGACAAATCACGCACTGTTAAAATAGTCCCCAAGATTTGCCTTGCGTAAGAACTGACGCATTTAACTGTGACAGGTACGACAACACAGTATGGGGACTGCCTAACTTCCCCCGACACCAAGGCTGAATATGGGAGAGAACACTGACCAGTTCAGAAAACTGTTCAGAAAACCAGTTCAGAAAACATTCCAGACCATTTGCAAAAAGATCTTATAGGGGACTTCTGCACATTTTTACCTCCTGGCATCACATGGCCAACATCCTGGACAGTGAGAGCAGAGTTTTTATCTTCAGTGTTGACACGAATCACACCAAAACTCAGCCCATTCATGGACAGGATGGCTCTTCCAGGCAAAGGTGCCCCGGGGACCCCAGGCCTTTGAAGGACACAAAATCAATACACTAAATCAGGCATACAGGCCATTATTTGACCCGGATTAAGATACTGCAGCAAGAGAAATATGCGTATTTCGGTGTCTCTTCTTTGCATAACAAATTTTAAGGTATGAGATGGCAGTAGAGATTGCCTCTCAGAAGAGCCACGCTGATCAGTAAGAAACCGTATTCTTGGGCAAGTGCAACTCTTCTTCCAGCTGTTTAGCTTACCCAGTGTTAAACACCAGCTCCCGAGCCAGCTGACTACAGGGCTATTTATTACAGAAGGCAGCAATGGACAGAAACAGACTGTGAAAATGACTGTCCAAAGTGGTATCAAATTTAATCTCAGATTCAAGAATACCACTCTGTGTAAATCAAGAGTAGGAAAAAGCAGTGCACAGGTCTCGCAGGTGCTGTTGAGCTGTCACACATCTTGGAGAGAAAAAAAACACTCGTATCTTTGGAGTAATGTTTAACAACTTAGCTACTTGAATACCTGAGCACACACAGTAAATGTCAGTGGAGCTTATTACATGCTTAAGTCAACTATGACCAACTGATGTGTGAACAAACCTCAGCCTGGATCACTTAATCTAGCAAATAGACTGCAATGCTGTACGCCCATTACCTCCGTATTGCAATAGTCATCGCTTCTGGAGATGTGGCACATGGACAAATTGCCTCTGGTTTAAGCCCATGGCTCTGAAACAAGCTCAGAAAGGCATCGCATGAGGAAACAGACCCTGGAAAGAAAGAAAATATGCCACTATGACTTCACATAATTTGGTTTTAAAGACTGGCTGTAAAATAATCTAGAAATAAGTGCAGTGTATTTGCAAAGTATATATACTATGTCACTTTTAAAAACTCCAGGTAGCATCTTCCAAGATACCAGCCACAAAGGAGCTTAAGTGCCTACTTGGGAAAAGGCATGTTCTCTTTGAACAAGTCTGCTTTTCTCCCCCAATTTGCTTCAGAGTTGTTGCATGCTCACAGTACAACAACAGGCTTAAACTACTTTCCAAACCTTCAGCAATTAGTACACATATGTAGGGTCTGTTTCCATGCAGCATGCATAATCAAAACGTGACTAATGGTATTCCAAGCGCCCCTTCCAGTTGGTGCCATCTAGACAAATATTCTTTAAGCCTTTTCACTAACAGCATTCCTTGCAGATTTTTCTGGGGATTTTTTTCCCCTTCAAAGTTCTTAAAAGCCTTTACCTTAACCCCCTGTGAGCAATTTAAACCAATCTCGCTGTCTACCAGAATTCTGTTTTACACACAGGAGCTCCCCATTCAACCCTCCTGTTTCTTACTTTGCAGCATCTTTCGCATCTCATACTCAAAGGATGAAAGCACAGAGAACGCCCTGCCCTAGTGCTAATGCACCACAATTCACAACTGTGTTATTAGACAGCTCCCCTAACTGAAATCTTCTCAGAAGTATCTACAAAAGGACTTAAGCTTGATCCTGTGAGACAGCTAGCTGAGAAACCTCTCTCCTGAAAGCAGCAGGATGTGCATACTCACAAGGATTTGCACCATCAGTTACAATCAGCATGCGTAGAGAACTCAAACTGACGTCTCTTTGGTCTCGATGGGCCATCATGGCCCAGTGCAAGTCTCGACACTTGACTAAAGCAACTTTTGCTGCAAATCAACACAAAAAAAAAAGTACCATATAAGGACAAATAAAAGATTTCCAGGAGTCATTTTCATAGGAATACACAATCCAACACTCCCAAATGAGAAATTCTCACTAAAGCAGGCAAACCTTAATTAACTGACCCTGCAGTAACAGCAAACCCTAACACACAATAGCATCTGCTGCGTCCATTTGCCCACCACCTAAGCCAGGGTCTGTCACTATTGCAGCTTCTCCTCCAAAATGCATAAATCATTATCACCATCTGAATGTCCTCGGTGAGGACTGGGGATCAATGGATCTCGCTGCGCTCAACTATTTTCTTGGTTTCATGGAAGGCAGCGGCTTCAACTACACAGGTCATGAGGTCCTCATCAAGTTCACCGACATCCACATAGCATTAGGACTTGGTGCATATTTAGAAATAAATTAGAGTTTTGGCCCTTGTGATTTGTCACAGAATAGGAAGAAGACAGGTTCTAAAGCATTTGAGATTTTAATGCCTCTCACTCATTTATCCTGAGAACTTCAAGCTCAAGTGGTGGAACATACACAGTTACCTTTGTGGGCATGAACTCTCTGCACCCATGAGAGTGGACAGGTTTTCATCACAGAATAGGGCACACTGATAGTATGCAGTTTGTTCATTACATTCTGAAAAGTAGAAAAAGATTTTTAGAAAAGGGCTCACAAAACCTATTATGAAGCAGAAATAGGAGTCACCCTCACTCCCTATTAACCCCTATCCCACCATGAATTCACGTAAGTTTACTGACGATGCTTCTACACTCCCTCCAGAGAATTGCCTATGTAGCAGGGAGAGAAATGGTTGACTTAATAGGTAATGGTCCTCAACCATCTCCTCAAATGCTGCAATTATAAAGAGTTAGGAAATGCTTCAGAAAGTCCTTACAGGCTTAACTCACCGTTAGAATGCCATGCCACAACCCTGCATCCTTCTTAAAATCCAAAACATTCACTATTGTTTCACCTGGAAAAAGAAAGTTGTAGTTTTGAAGTGAAATGTGCCAGGACAGCTGTGACCATTATTTATGCTAGAATCTGTGTACATTTGAGTCTGTCAGATCTGCTCCAAGAAGTACACATGCAGCAAGCCAAGTTCAGAGCCTTGTTTGTCTGATTATACGTTTTACTAGTCAGAGCTCCTTGTTATGCAAAATAACACAACTGAATGTCAATTTAAGATGCGGAATATATCCCAGAAAGTTGCAAGAAAATTACATTCCAGCCTGTAATGTACATCAGTAGAACAGAAAGGGTCTTAACCTCATTATGCATGAGCAGTAGCAGGGGAAGAGAGTCGAGAACATCATTCAAGCATTGACTCCCAGAAGCAACGGAAATTAAAGTGATGGCTTCCAAAAGACAAACTCTGCATTTTAAAGTGCCATGACATACAGCTCTAAAAATAAAGTTTCAGTCATGGATATATAAATTAGCCTGACTTTCAAGGTAGACCAGACTAAAACCATATCCTGCAGCAGAACTCTCTGTACTCCCACCAGCAATTTCCAATCTCCACTTCCAGGTTAGCCAAAAAGCCTCGTGCAACTAGTACAGAACCAGTTTATGCAAGAGGTGCTTTGATATTTACACACACTATCAAGAACAAAAGTTTGGAAAGACATTTTAATGGGTGATCAGTACAGTGAGAGGGAGACTCAAGCTTGCTGGAAAATGCTCCACTTCTGATTCATCTGCTCTCCTTCTGATTCATCAGAGCAGACCTGTTAACTTTCTATACATGATGCAAATCCCACTTTTTATTCCTCTTCACTATGGCAATGAAAACAATGTCGTTTTGGATGGAAAAGATTACAGACAGTCTTCACTTTCGGAGGAGAATCAATCTGTACTTTTTTGTCTTCTTTTTTTTAAGTAGATACTATTGTGTATTTGTTACTCATAGACAGCTGTTAAAAATATGAGAGGCAACCACTGAAAATGATGTCGCTGAACCTTCATTCCTTTGATGTTTTTGTGACATCACCTACCTTCAGAATAGTTGCAGGCCTGAGACAAGGCTTGACAGTGAGACAGCATGGCAATCCGAGACACTGTAACACCCATAACACTGCCCTCTTTGCTTGTCTTATACTACAGAAGAGAAAAAAGAAGCCAGGGTGTGACTCTAGATCCCACATATGGAGGATATTAAATCACAGAACCCGTATTAAATAAACTTTTGCTCCTCTAAAGCTGCCGAGACATACTTGAAGAAGTACCTGCTTGTAGAAAGGTATCAGCAAGGTTCACTACCGAAAAGATGGTTTTCAGGTAGCAAACATGTTCCGGTAACTCCAGAGAGATACGCGATAAAGATGACAACTGAATGAGTTTGTGTTTATTTCATTGTTACTACTTCTCACAACATCTCCTCCTGCTCCCGTAAGTAAACTGAAAGGCCTATTTGTAGTTTTAGAATGGCCAAATTACAGAATCATTAAGGTTGGAAAGGACCTCTGAGATCATCAAGTCAAACCATTAATCCAGCGCCACCATGTCCCCTAAACCATGTCCCAAAGCGCCATATTCACACATTTTTTGAATATTTCCAGTGATGGTGACTCCACCACCTCCCTGGACAGCCTGTGCCAATGCCTGACCACTCTTTCAGTGAAGAAATTCTTCCTGATATCCAGCCTAAACCTCCCCTGGCCCAACTTGAGGCCATTTCCTCTCGTCCTATCGCTGGTTACTTGGGAGAAGACGACTAACCCCCACCTCACCACAACCCCCCTTCAGGTAGCTGTAGAGAGCAATGAGAGCTCCCCTCAGCCTCCTCTTCTCCAGACTGAACACCCCCAGTTCCCTCAGCCGCTCTTCATCAGACTTGTGCTCCAGACCCCTCCCCAGCTCCGTTGTCCTTCTCTGGACACGCTCCAGCACCTCAACGTCCTTCGTGTCGTGAGGGGCCCAATAATTACTGTTACTACTTAAACCAATGCAGTTCCTAGAAGTTGTCTTACTGAGGTGTACAAACAAAAACAACATCTGCCAGGAAGAACAGAAAATTCAAAATGCTGTTGGCTTAAGGAGTTTCAGAAATCCGTGTTATCAAGTACACTATCTCAGAGAGCTCAGTTGCCTCAATTACTAGCTTTCTGGAACTAGAAGAGTGTTCTCCATTTTGGGGAGCGCTCAAGCCCACAAAGGTATTCAAAACTAAAATAAGCTTCACAGCAGGCTGTACACAGTGAAAGACTTGTTTCAGTGGCTAGAAACTGGAAAGTTTAAGGTAGTGAGGTGAAAGTATTCTCTCTCTGGTGACTAGAACATTAAATTCAGCTCACAGAAACTACTGTCTATTCCCCATTCACTACTTACCTCAATATATGCTGGCTCAGTTCCTGCAGCTGAGATGTTGGGCTGCCAGTCCTTAGGAGATTTGGAGAGATATTTAGAATCTGTCACAACCCATTTGAGTCTGGGCCAACCTAGAGCCAAAATTAAAGTGGAATATTAATATCAGTTTATTGAGGGATTTATATTCTGCAAGAACACACTAAAACCCCATCATTTGTCCAAGTTCAGTTACACAAGCAAAATACCAAGCCAAGCCAAGCTACTAGCCAGAAGGTTCATATTGTTTCTCATCAGGGAGTTCAGTGGGCAACAAGGCACTTCCTCTACTCAGGAAAGATCCCTGCAGTATTTCTAAATATAGCTTGTTGTATCATTAATGAAACTGCTTTTGAACCTGCCAAATGCCACAGGATCTGAGGACAGCCCTGGCTTGTAAGATGGATTCATCGTGACTTCCGGAACAACAAACCAATTCTGTCAGGCACATGGATCAGTCTACACCACATGCATAAAACCTACAACATTTAAGTGATGCTATCGGAAAAGTTGCTCACTTTGCCCCCTCCAAATGCATTCAGACTTCCGACAACTATTTTCAGACAGTTCAGCTATAGCAGAAGTGCAATCAAAAGCAAGTATACAACCAATCTAACCTTTAAACTGCACAATTTCTCCATTTTGAGTTTTCGGAAGTCCTTTCAGACAAACTTCAGTGGTGAGGGCCAAAGCAATACCGCAGCTTCCCAGCAGAAAACCGATCTGCTGACCACCAGCATCCTGAGGGAAGAGGGGGGGAAAAAAGTCATTCCTGTTTAAAGATGACATAAGTCAACTTTGCCCTTACCAAAATCTACGGTCTGGTAATGCTCTGGTAACTGCATGGTAACATTATGGATCCCATTGGGAGGAAAAAGAAGAAACAACCCATGCCTACAAACCCTCTTTCCTTTGGTTTGCCCTTCTCTGACATCCAATGTCTGGCAATGGTTTGAAACTCAAATGACAACCACTGTCTGGCAGGGATGAATACAACAGCTTCTAAGCTTACATAATGACATGTTTTGGAAGATGATATATACCAAGCACAAAGGCTTGCTGGGTGTAAATGGAGACATACCTACAAGCCAATAAAAGTCCACAGGAAAATGATAAGCCATCCAAAAAATGCAGAAGGGCTACTTAATCTTCTGCATACCAAGTCTGCTCTTTTCAATTCATTTTGTTAAAAAGTGAAATGATTCTGTAACTGAGGGCAGACTGCAGGGAAATTTGGTGATTCTCAAAGGGAACTCTTTATACATAAAAGAAGTATTACACCGGCAAGACTAAAATGCGTTGGATGTGAAATCCACAGAAAACAAGTGCTCATGCCCAGCATCTAGGCATCGAGCACACACCATTTATTTTCATTAAGGGAAGCCCAGTAGCTTCAAAGAGGAATCATGAGGCAAAAAAAGCAAAACTTATAATTACACTGAAATAACAAGGCCTCTCCTTCCCCAGGAACTAATTTCTATTGCACAATGATAAAAACACTGAAATGAGGTAGCTCACTAAGAAATCTGACTGAGAGAAGTTTTAATTTTGTATTTGGTTGCTATAGCAGTTGTCACGCTGCAGACAAATGAAAGCACAGCTCTGTGACTCCCATAGTATCACCAGACTAGCTTACCATTTCATTACCACCTCTCTTGCAATATGTTTGCCATTAGCCTGTTGCTTTTGATTCCTCTTAATGAAATCTAAAGTTTTAGACAGTTCTTGACATGGCAATAATATGGCAATACTGCAAAAATTCTGGTAAGGGTAAAGAAAACACTTCGTTGAGCAAATAATTTACAAAAAGTGCCTTGAAGTCTTCAGAAATACTTAGCACCTTCAGCCTCCAGCGAAGTCAAAAGACTGGCCGATACTAAGCATGGCTGGAAATGAGACCCCCTTCACATCGATCAGAGGGCAGGTTCCCAATATTGTCTGTACCATGTAAATTATTTGCAATAACAGAACGAAGATCACAGCATTTAGGCGAATCGACCATTTCCAGCTACTCAGCACAGCTCTCTGGTCAATACGTTTTTCCATTTTTAAACAGCTATTCCAGGTTCACAAAGGTCTTGCACACTGCGCTGACACAGAGCTGCTAAGGCAGCAGCTGGATGCCGTGAAACATTTTCAGAGGTTGATGGTCTGACTTGGTTTTCATCCCACATCAGCCTATCACTCCTCTAAGTTCCATCAACGTTACCTTTCTGGTAAGAGGTACCTCTATAGGCACTGGTATGACTTCAGCTAGGAGACAGCCGTAAAATGCCACCATAAACATGACTGGGTCATTGTTGGGATAAACAAGGGCTACCTACAAGTCACAAAAACATTTTGTTAGTTGAAATACAAGGAAAAATTGCAAATTTCAGATCTATAGTGACTAGAAGTCAGAAAATGTTGTTATTTCACATTCTACCACAGCATTTTTCACACGGCACCTTCAAGCACTCTTTCTTCCACGGAATACCTGGTATTTGCATGAGTTCCTCATGCAGTAATTCCCTGTGTGCCCATACACATGAAGATGCACGCACAGCCAAAGCACAGATCTAAAACTCTGTATTTCTCTAAGAGGTGCAATGCTCTTCCTTAAATGTATTTCAAAGTCCAGAGCCATGAAGTTGCTTAGAGAGCAGCCAGCAGGACTGAAAAAAATCGCAGAAGTTTCCTTCCCAAATAGCCTGTCCCTGGGATAAGAGTCTCGCTATTAAAAGAATCAGATTATAGTGTCTGTGGTAAGTTACAGCCCCCCAAAACCCTCTTTTTATTTCAGAGGGAGAACCAGACAGTCCCAAACTCATTACCCTATCTCCAGGTTTTAACACGGGTTCATTTTTGGTCCCCAGTTTATTAAGCAGTGTGTAGGCCAGCTTGAGACTTCTGCTCCACAATTTGCCTAGAACACAAAGAAGAGAGACTTGCACAACTCTAAATCAACCCAGCATACAAGAGAGTATTTCAATTCTTGACTGCTTTTACCGTCTACAGTCCCGACCTCTGTTTCAGTTACACCGTTTTGTCTACAGAAGCTCTCAAATCCCAAGAAGGTATTTGCAACCACATGAAGACCAGCAACCCTGTGTTCTATCCACTACTGCTCTTTTGGAGCAGTTTAGCAATGGAAGCCAGGGCTCAACTCACCATACGTGAGGGTATAAACTGGTTTTCCTGTAACATCCAGTGCTGTCAGACAGGGGCATTTAGCTTGTGTGGTTCCCCAACGCTGCAGTGCTGCTTCTAAGGCAGGAGGCCAGTTGCAAACAACTCCCAGGGGTTCTCCCTTCACAGGTGTCATCTGGCGTCCCTCTGGCTTGGGCTGATTTGGGTCAGGCTGTGGAACTGAAGAAAATTCAATAATGTTTCCAGTTCATCTTTGCCCATTTGTTACCAGACAGTTAGGCTGGAAAGACACACTGAAAACAAATGCTCTTCCTCATCGCCATTAGGTTTAACGAGTGCATCACATTTCATTTCCTAAGGAAGCCCTGCACCAAGCAAAACATCATCATGAACATAAGTGTCCTCCTGAGGTGCTAATAGGAGGTATTCAATTCAACAGTGAAGAAGGTAACTGGAGAAAAAAAAAAACAATCTTACAAAATAAGGTTGTAATGAAATAACCAGTAAAGACAATCCCTTTTGGGAAATTAAAGTAGCCTAAGCAAATGCAGGTGTTTTAAAAATCTATTTAAATATTTTTCTTAATAAGTTTTAGTTATTGTAAGAAGTTTAGTGATGAAGAGGCCACTCAAAGCACAGTGAAATTACTTCAAACATTGGTTTTGTATCAGACCACTCATGAAGGCTACTGCTAGCTGCAAATAGCGCATCATTCTGAGTCAACTTCAAAAACAACGGCATAAATAAATTCAGCACTTGGCACGTCTGTGTACTTATAAAAAATGATTAATAAAAAACATTAATTGGTGCTATTACCTTCCACAATTTCTTCGAAATCATCCACAAAAAATTCTTTCAATGGTGGCCTTTTGGGTCTTTTCAAGGTGTTAAGCAACTGCTGAATTTTCGTGGAGACTCTGCTACTCACAGGAACACCTGGAGGGAAAGATTTTGTCTAACAGAAGTGTTCCTCGTCTCTATTAACATTTATATCCCCCCTCTTTCCACCAGAGGATAATTCTCTTGGTGTGCCCACTCATTCAACCACTGCCTTCCGTTATTAAAGGTTGTGCCAGTGCAGGACAACATTAGTAAGCATTATATCAGTTCTGTATTAACCCGGTGGTCAGAAAATGCTAGTAACAGAAATCTGTTTTCAAAGCATTTACTCCCTTCCAAAGGCTGATTTCCAGCTGTCTCTAACACACTGCACTTGCTGTACAACACAGCCTACAGATCTGCGCCTGCCTGCGGTATCGACAAACTGCAGTGCAAGGCTGCCAGCAGAGGGAGGACGCAACGAGAGCAGAAGCATTAACACTACCCCTCTGCGCAAAGATTTATGCCAACCAGCTTAGAGTGAGTCTTATCAACTTCATGGGAGCTTAATTATAGTTAAGAATTACATTATTTCGTTCATCTTACCTTTCCTTTTGGGGATTCTAGGACAAAAGCTTTTAAAAACAATTAGCCTACCTATGCATTTGTAATTTTTTTCCCTAAAAAGTGATAGAGAAGGGAAAAGCCTATTATCTCTCCCATGATTTTCTCCATCTCAGTACATAGCAGATAATTGCTGCAGCAGGGGAATGTGTTAACGCCAGCGTAGGAATGTGTTAATGCTAATGCCATAACCATTACAAATTTGCGAAGTGCTTAAAAGGGATAAACTTAAGTCACATGACTTGTTCTCCCAGCTCAAGTCCTTAACACCATTCTAATTTCTGGGTACTCTGAGAGCTTCCATACCATCAGCAGTATCCATGAGGCTAGATCGATTAGATCCCTTGTGCATGCCTTTCACGATCCCTGAAGGAGGAAGGTCAATCGCTGCTGGGCGTGCTGAGGAAGAGGAGGTAGTTGCTGTGACATCTGGAGGAACTGAGAAATTTTCTACAAAAAGGGAGAAAATTGAGATGGCAATTAACATATACCTTTTATCATCAGATGGAACAAGCAAAGTGTTAGTTACCTGTTACCAACAATATTAAGAATTTAATGGGTTGAATGTGTGGGAGCTCTTATTAATGCTAAACACACCGCTTCCTAAATATTAAGTAGCTCTAGGAGGTGCACATTATCTTTTCTGGAAAACAGAAAGCAAAGGCACAAGATGAGTGGCTTTGTCCGTGTCAGGAAAGTGGTTCACGAAAACAGAATTGCTGTTCTTGGTTTCTAACCTTCAAGCCAAGCTAAATATCTTGACCTTCAGCACTGTAAAAAAAAAAAAAAAAAAAAAAAAAAATTTTTTTTTGAGATCCACATGAGCTCTGAAATATTCAAAGCCCAGAACAAAAACCTACATCACCTATGCAGTAATCTCTCTTGCTAGAATTATGCTATTTAACCTTTTTGTCAGTAAGGGCTTTCTAAAACAAAACACGCGGTAGGCTATTGACTAAAGCAGATCAGCAAAAAATCATGTTTGGTTTAAATTTCTTCCAGTTCGGTGGCTAAACATTATGAGCCTGCCCAGCAGTTAAATACTAAACTTAAAATCTAATGAATAGAGAGAGCTGGGTCTTACTTTTGCTTTAAATTGCAAGACACCGTTCTGCTTTTCATGAGTTTGTAAGCTTCAAAACGGCAAGTAACTCTGCATACTTCAGTAATTCTCTCATTAACTTTCTCTTAAATAAGCAATTGTGCTTACACAGGATTTCTTTACACAACACAGTAGGTTAAATCATCTGATAGGGCAAGAATATTCTATTCTGGTTTAATAGAACCAGCAACTGTTGCTTACGAAGGAAAAAAGCCAACAATTTCGAAACTATATGTTGGCTTGCACAGAGACAGTCTGAAGGAAGTCAGATACTGAATAATTCCCACAGAAAGGTTTTTGCAGTTCATTGTGCCTCTCTTTCTAAGGAGAGAAAAAAAAAAATCCATTTCCGCATACCTTTGGAAATACGATGGCAAGGAATATTTCTCATTTATTGAGCTTCTAAGATCACTAGGAAGGACCTAGATTTTGTACAACTCCAAACATTTGCAGGACTTTTTATTGCTCTCTCCAAAGAGATGTATAAAATTGCGTATGTGAGAGTTCCTATTAATTTAAATTAGGTGTTAGCACAGGATGAATGTGGCATCTACATGGCAAATACAACTCCAACAAAGATTTAAAACTTCTATTTTGCATAAAATACTAATTCTATTAGACAGTAGTTTTTCTGTAAGTAAAAAGCTAGATTACCTTAATTCATTACAAAAGGTAACATGGCTTTCTGTATGCTCCAATTAAAAACAGCCTCTCTGCTTCAAAGACATGTTAATTATATCGACTACATTTTATGGGCAATTTCCCCAGTTCTCCGTTTCAGAAAACAACTTGCATTCCAGCAAATGAACAAACAAAAATAACAGCAATAAAAAAAATGGTAAGTGAAACAGTTAAAACCACCAGCACTTCTATGCACTGCTTGCCCCAAACCAGTTAAGCAAAAGCAGAGAGCACACAAAATACAGACATCTCCTAAGATGCAGTCATATCCTTAACAGCAGATTAAAAAAGACAAACATACACAGAGCAAAAACAAACTTTGCAATTTCAAACAGAAGCATCAGCAGCAAGGAGCACCTCAGAGCCTCAAAAAACTGAGCCTGGGGTATCCAGATCTGTAGATTTTGCTCCGTCTTCTCAACACCTGGATGCTCTGATTATTTCTCAGACCAGTCATGAAAGATCTGTGCTAAATCTTTACTCTGCTGTAACAATTTTTTTTTTTCCCAATGACACGCTCGTTTGTTCACATACATGGCTGGTTTTGGTCCTTTTTCTTTTCTTTCTCTTTTTTTTATATCTACCACAAACAAGAAACCATTAGGGCTTATAGCAAAATGAGAATGTTAAAACAGAGCATTTCCCCCACACAATAGGCAAAGACACCCCTGTGGTATTCATCAGGACACAGATGCCAAACGCTACTTGCATACGGTAGCTTTGTACACACAGTAGATTCAAATAGCCGTAGACATAAGCAACACAGTATACAGAAAGAAAGTTGTGCCTATGGATCCTGTCAATACTGTCATCACACCCTGGAGTCTTTTCTACTTCAGTAAGCTGCTGCTCCCCACTTCCCCTTTTTCAACCAACTCAATATTCTGAAATTCTCAAGGGAAAAAAAAAAAATCGTGGTGGTGCAACTCCAACAAATCCTAGCAAGTTCCATCAAAACTAACTAAACTCTTGATCCGAATTTCCATTACGGAATGGTCAACTCCAGCTTTATTAATACAGTCTGAACTTGAAGCAATTTTTCTGTTCATACCCAGCTCCTACCTATTCGAGTATTGGCAAATACATCAGCTAGTGACCCACTGGTCCCTTTGCCTTCTCCATGGGAAAGTGTAGAAGATGCTGATGAAGATGTGGATGACCCCTGAATAGATCGGTTGATCCAAGACTCAGCATTCTGTAAGCTCTGATGCAATGCAGCAGAAAGAGCAGCTTGGCGCCTTAGCGACCCCTCATCCTCGGATGCGGAAGACGTGTCTGTGTGGAAGCAGAAAAGAAAATCTAGCTGCTTCGGGAAAGGCACATCGCACTGAACACGCTCTCTTTCCAATTCACGTATCAATGGCACAGGCTTGTAACATGAAGATCTTTTTCACAGGCTGCGTCAAACAAGGTTACATTGGCCAAAACAAAGTTTAATAGCAGACATCTCCAATGTGAACACATGTACCCCCGGTGTTCTGCCCCTGTTTAAAGCACACAAAAGATTCACCTCCTCAGGCAAGTATCCTTTCCCCGGGTTCTCCAAGTTTATTGGCTTATCTCACTACTTTTCCATTCACATTCTATAATACCAGATGCTGTGTTGCCTAACTTTGCTAATTCTGAAATGGAAAGTGAGGGGTCAGTATCACTGTCAGAACTGAAAATTCACAGGAACAAAGCAGAACGCAGGCACTGGGAAACAAATGTGCCAAGGCCACATGCAGAAAATGCTTTTGTCTGGTATTCTAAATGGGTCCCTTTCAAAATAAAAAACAAAAAAACCCACCCCGAAACAAAACAGAGAAAACTACAACAAGGAACTGCATCCTGTGTTTCCAAGAGAACAGATACATTGTCTATCCTGGAGTTGTGAACTATTTATTTATCACAAAGAAAGCACTCATTACTTGGTATCTTAAGTTGTACCGTGCTACATACGAACATTCAGTTAGAGTTTGGCCTAAAATTTAGGTGTTCGTCAAAGCGATTGCCTGTCTATACTCTAGTTGTAAATCGAACTATTAAATCTTATTCTACCTACTTGCCAAAGTAAAACGCAGTCATAGGCTGAAGAAAAGGACTGTAGTCCTGAACAAGTTAGTACAAAGCTGAGACCCAAGCAGACACCAGGAACATGCATTAGCCCCCAGTAGAAAGGAAAACAAAAAAAGGAAGTGTGAAGAAAAAAGGAGGCAAGAGAATAAGGATGAGTGAAGTGGCCTAGCAGAGCAGTTTCAGAGAAATATGAATTCACAATGAGGTATGAATTCGTAAACTTCAGATGATTTCATCAATCCAAATGACTGTGATGCTTCTGCGCAATGAGAGACAACATAAAAGTCGCTGCCGAAAATTACACATATTTGTCTTAAAGCCAGTGCATATAGCTGCTTGAAAACAGAGAGGTTTATTAGTATCTGATGCACATGCACCATAACAGACACCACATTATCCAAGGTATTTTGCCACAGCCTTTACATGGGAGGGCTTAGGAAGGAAAAGTCCTGCAAGTCAGGGAATCCCACAGGACCCCTTCCAAGGTCCTTGCCCAGAAATGTACATTGCTGCAAATCCTCTTGCTGTATGTTGAGCATTAAACCTTAACAAAATCAAAACATGAATTATGCAACTGAAATAGGTGTGAGGGAAGCAAAAGAAGAAGCCTCAGTCCAGAAAGCCTGCTTGGCTCTTGCCAACTGATTCTTTAAAAGCTGCCAGAAGAGGAGTCATTTTCACGGCCCTAAGAGCAGCTCCACGAACACAAGCAGCTGCTCTAATGTAGAAGGGAGCTACAGGAGCAACAGACTACCTACAGATGTTCGGAAGAGCTTGAATATTTTGACAATTGCAGCCTCTTGATTTGGAAACTGTTACTAATGCATACCTTAACATCCACACAGACACGCACACTGCTAAGAACCTAACCTGGGGGAGTGCAGGCATCAGCTGGAGATTGAACAAACGTAGACCGTCTTTTCGTTGGCATGGGCAGGGCCATCTTCTGTTCTTTGTGTTTTGCCAGTGCTGCTTGAACTGCTTCTGTGTGGATATCTGCAAAATGGAAGTTCATATACTCAGTTTTGCAAGAGTAGAGGAGGAAGAAAAACACACAAGGCTTACACATGTGCAACTACTGCTAGCCGTCTATATTTATGCAATCCCCCATCTTGCAGTACCTTCCCAAACAACTACATTTTGCCATCTCATGAGTAACATTTCCTTTTTTTTTTTTTTTTTTAAAAACAGGGAAACTAACTGAGGTTTCTAAAGTTAACAAGCCATGCAGCCCGGCCAGGTTTTTTAGTCTGGAATCCTCTGGATAATTAATTATATTCTTGTGTGCCTAGCAACTTTTATAGAAAGTCCCCTCAACCAAAGATTATCCTAAAATATGCTCATACATAATTTAAAATATGCATATAAGCTAACAGTGCATACAGCCCCAGGTGCAACTCTGGTCTATAAACTGACAAATTCGGAGCCAGTTGTCTCATTTAGGAAAAACCTTATGTTCAAAAACCTGAACGGATGCAGATTTCATGTGAATCTTGAAAGTTACTAACTGCGGCTGGAAATACATGCTGATTAGTAACCAAAACAGGCTAGGACATGAGGCTTTGGTCCCCCTGCAAACATCCAGAACTCTTTAAAGGAAGACACATCACTGGTGATGAGAAGACAACTTATTAAAATACTACGTTGACAAGGGAGAGGTCATCTACATTGGTTTCTCAGATGAATGTATTTTAATTATGTTTTTCCCAAAACCAGAAAACTAGGCTTTTCTAAGTGCTTTATGAAATGGTGCTATAAGATAGCAGTGTTACTGGAGAAGGTATATTTGATACACTTCATTTTCCCCTGTCGAGAAGAAAACTTAAATCTTGTTAATCCAAAATGAAAAGCAGAACCAGGTGGAAACAAAAAATAGGTGCCGCCACCTTCTCCTTTCCTTAAGTGGAGAAGGAAATCAGCAGAGCGATAGCCAGCCATTTCTGCTGCTCTTTGGAAGTACCGTAAGCACAGATAGAGAAAGCCAGTGCTCATTCTCCAAGCTCCTTCAGCAGATATGCACAACAATCACCAATTCCAGGAACAAATTATTAGTCATTTCACTGAATCTGGTTACCTACAGACATGGTTAAAATAGACTTTCCATTCTGTGAACGACATGCATTGAATGGTTGCATTCAAGCCAGAAAAGTCAAGGTGGCAAAATGTTATTTGCTGCTTCTACTCAGCATCAATCTTTCTGACTTGGCAGCTGCAGTCCTACAAGTCTGATGTTTCTTTACACAGAACCACCAAGGCAGGACTTGCCATCAGTGGACAAATAACAAGCTTCATTCCTTGAGAGGACACAGTGCATTATTCCTCATTAACAGGGATCCCAGGTGAACTCTTGCCCTTGCCCTTACCAGATCGATAGCGTTCATCTCTGGCTCCCCCTGAGCGAGCTCGGTGAAATTTGGATGAGGATGCGGATGATGCTGAGGCTGGAGTTGCAGATGGAACAGGCATCTGAGTTCTGGATTCCTTTTGTAATGCTGGATCAACCCCTGGAAAACAGTCCACAACTCTCAGAGCAGGAAATAAAAGTGTGGTCAAAAAAGGCTACTTTTATCTTTCACCATATAATTACAGGATTTCTTCTCCCACCCCCCACCCCCAAAGTGGATCTAATCAGTATATTAATACATTCATCCAATTATACCCTAATCAGTTAAAGATATACTCATCCCTTCTTTGACCTCAAAGTTTTCTCCAGCCTTTTTTTCTTTTTAAGAGGTTGTAAGACAGACAGACAATGAAGTAAGATAATTGACAGCAAATCTGAAGCAGGTAACAATACACCATTTCACATAATTTAAGCAACCTATCAGTGATAAAGGGAGATGGAGTCACCTTTAAAGAATTCATCACAAAATACAAAAGCAAAGATGATAAGATACACATAAATGTTGATAAATGAAATAGTAGACGAGGCAGGTAAGTCCTACACTTCCACACACTTAATAGGGCCATTTGCAATAAACTTCAATGTTTTCCGACTTAGTATCTGTATGGTTTGCTCCCTATTTTGCCCTGTTTCCAGTGGGAACAGGACTGCACCATACTCTCATTATTGCATTAAGACGGAAGAGAATTAGCAGTTTAACCTGTGGTAGAGCAATATATGTAAATTGCTTTAAGAGATCAGTCATTTACACCAGTCTCCGGGTAGACACCACTGCTATGGGCACAATGAGTAAACGGGTTTGACTGATGCAATAAGTCACTACCACAAATAAAGTTTGAGTTGTGAGGAAGAGCTAACCCATAGAAAAATGTATTGAGAAGCTGGGTTCATTACTCAGTGTTCCACTGACCAGTGTGCGTTATTGACAGGAAAATCAATAATGTACCAGCAGCAAGAGCCTTTGCTGTTCACGTCAATTAAAAAACCAACCAGACATCTAGCTGTCCAGGTTCTGGCTCCTTTCAGCGTGTCAAGAACTAAGTGGCTTTATCCTCCTGGAAAAGCATGTTTCTCCTATGAATACAGGGAGCTAAATAGATAATCTGATAAGAAACTATCATTTTACATAATTCAGCAAGGGACACTAGGAGCTGTTGCTACTGGAGTTTCAGTTCTAAAATGAATTGTGGGAGCTTTTTAAAAACGAAAGGTCATATAGCTGTAATTACCTTCAGGTTGTCACCTGAAGTCATGCGAAAACAAGAGCAATTGTGTCGTCTAAATATGCGCCGCTTATGAATTCTCACAAACTACCAAAGGATTAGAGAAATGAAGAGGAAACCACAAATCCTGGAGCCCAATTCCAGTTATACCACTTTCTTAGTGTGTGGTTGTAGGTAAACAGCTTAAGGCTAGTGCCTCAAGCTCAGGGAACTTACAATACCAGCAAATCGTACCTAACTAGTTACAGAAATCTCCAACCATTGCCTATACTTTCCAACATCCAAAAGAGCAGAATATTAATTGAACGTTACAGCAAACTAACTAGCCACTTAGCCCAGCATTATATGCTTTGGGAAAAAAAATCAAGAATACTGGGGCAATGCGCTCTTGTAAGAAGCTCTCTCTTAAACCCTAGCGTTATTATTCAGCCTGGGAACCTTTTCAAAACTTTTCACCTCTTACTCAAAGTTTTAGTAGTTCCATCTCCAATGTGAACATTTAATGGAGGCAAGCTACTGAGCTTATGTATTGATGATTCTTTAAACGATCACGCCAAAAAAATTAGAACCTTTGTAGAATTCTAGTTAAAAAGAACACATCCTGCTAGCCAGAAATCCTCAAACCATATTAGGGGGACAAACAACTATTCCCCATTTTCATTGGGGTTTTTTTGGATATCGAAACATATAACCCAGAGTTCTGTATTCGCTTATCAAAACATAACCATCACCAGAACAAAGATGCCAGCAGCACAGAAAGTAGAATGGAAAAGGAAAAGAGACTTCTGTGGTTTAGGTGCAAGATCTGGTAATCAGAAGACCTGGATTTCAGAGCAAGATTTTCAATTCAAAAATCTCAGTTTACCCACATCCACAAAAAGCAGTGTTTGTGTCCCCTTCCTGTCATTCTGGAACACATTTCATTGATAACTAGTTGAACATCTTTGTAGCGTATATTTGTCTTCATCAACATCAAGAGTTTTATTTCGATCCAAAGACAAGACAACTTCACAGACTGAGAAGAAAAGCTTAATGCTTTCTGATCATTTGAGTATTTACGAATTCAAGCACCCACTAGATGTCAGCAGCAGATTTAACACTATTTTAAATGAATTATTAAATTCATATTCAGTTCTCTCTTAGAAGTCTTGCAAAAGCATCTCAGCTGCTCTGTAGGGCATCACAAGGCAAACGTGACATTCCATTTACAAAGGGATCAAATGAGTCTGTAAGTGACATGACACACCAAGAGCAAGCTCTTCGTTTAAATATTTTGCTATGACATAATAACATGTTACAGTAGCCCAACAAAGCATTCAAGCACAGATGAGGGAAAAAGTGTATAGCTGCAGTAAATCACAAATGGTTATACAACAAAGCAACGTAAGTGAGCTAAGCCTGGCAGGTGATAGCTGACTTATTTAGCATTCCCTTTAGAATAATCCTGCTCTAGCTGCAGTTTCTGCTGGCAGGATCTGACTCTACAGACGCATGAAAAATAAATTATTTTAGATTTGCTTTTGAAGGATGCTATGGATTTTTGAATTGTCATTAGTTTTTAAGCAGAATTGAGTGCTTTGTGATCCCTGCATTTTGTTGAAGGAAAAGGTTCAATGATTTAGAGATTCAGAGATTTTTTTTGTCATAAAAAGATTTAGATTAAAAGAATTATAAGTATCATGTATGATCTACAAGGATAAATGTTTACATTACTAATAAGAACAGTAAGTGCTAGATTCATCTTACAGAAGAAAAGCAGCAGGCAAACCTGTTATTCTACTGGTTTTGCATACAGAATTGAACAGGAGCGCTAGTGTTAGACCGACTATTCCTTATAACAAGATGATTTTTTTCAAGCTACATGCCTGTAAAAACTCTGTAAATAACAAAGTCAAGTTTCTAGGGTTTAGAAGTCAGCCTGAACAGCGCTTCCAGAACGCAGGGGACAGCCTCGCTCAGCAGCAGGCATGGCTGCGTAACCTTAGTGTGATTGCTGCTGTCTTCCAGCGCTAAGGCTGAGAACTCTACCAGACTTAGGAGATTCAGAGACTTTTGCAGGAGTTACTAGCTAGATGGATCTTAATTCTGTCCTGTACAAGACATGAAGGGAGAATTCAGGTGCTCCACTGATTTAGTCCTGGAAATTATTTCAAAGATGGAGAAATTTATTTCCTAGAGTCAAGTGATAAGCTTTATTTGCAATTGTGATACCCCTCAGACTGAATACAGAAGAAAGTAATTCCCCATTTGTGGTGGCTGCAAGTCAGATCTTGTAAATGGGTGAAACTCTCTAAACAACACTAAGCTGGAGCGCGTGTGCATGATTTACAGGTTTAGACAAAGCTGTTCTATCACTGGTTACTATTCCACATTAGCTCCCATTTGAAATAATGTGATGCTGAAAGATTGGGGGGGGCGGAGAAGAAGAGTTCAGGGGGAGAAGAAAAAAAACCCAAACCCTTGCAAAACTTTACAGTAGAGTTCTGCTGGCTTATTGGCAGTCTACAACACAGAGGGTGGCAGGAAGGACTCTTCTGAGGCAGGAAATATACGACAGCCCACTGGGGAAGCAAAGAAGAAACACTTCCAAAGTGCCAGGGTTTCAAAGAAATTAAACACTGAAGTAACAGAACCTATAACGTCCCCACCTTGTGCTATACATGAATATACTTTGAAACACAAAGCAGAAAAAACAACAAAACATCCATTAACAGCTAAAATTCACGGATCAATCAAATTAGCTTTAAATGTTATCAAACTCAACAGGTTTACAAGCATATTACTCTTGTCTTCCAACACCTTTACCTGAGGTACCGGCATACAAAAACCACCGGATCACATTCATCTTGCCTTTTCAATTAAAAAAAAAAAAAAAAATTTCCAACATTCTCTTTGCTTGTTTAATTTTTTTTTCATCATCACGAGAATAGGAAACAGGAGCAAGAGCACTCCAGCAGCTACATAAAAAGGTTCTGACAGTGAATCAGTGCTTAATGAACATAATTTCCTTTACACATTAGCAGAGGAACCGAATGCATTATCTTAAATAGCAAGAAAAGGTACTCTGCCAACAGTCTGTGTGCAAGGGCTGCTAATTTTGGC